TCAGTGACGTCATTATCAGTAGTTGTCTTATATCCTAGGCGGTTAAATGCCTGGAATTAAATAAATTCAATGACGTCACCATCAGTATTTGTCTTGTATCCTTAATAGCCAAATGCCTGGAATTATCGATCAATCAGATAATTTTAATATTGTTATTATCATTACGTGACTTGCAATTTAATTCCGTGACGTCATCACTGATACTTACATTAAAAACTCAAATATAAATTTTTAAAAGGCTAAAGTGGTTGCCCTAATTCCATAGCCACCTAATAGGTGATTTTTAAAAATTTCAGTGACGTCATTATTAGTACTTGTCTTATATTCTAGGCGGTCAAATCGCTAGAATAATCAATTAAATATATTTAATGACGTCATCATCAGTATTTGTCTTGTATCCTTGATGGCCAAATGCCTGGAATTATCGATCAATCAGATAATTTTAATGATGTTATCATCATTACGTGACTTGCAATTTAATTCCGTGACGTCATCACTGATACTTACATTAAAAACTCAAATATAAATTTTTAAATTGCTAAAGTGGTTGCCCTAATTCCATAGCCACCTAATAGGTGATTTCTAAAAATTTCAGTGACGTCATTATTAGTACTTGTCTTATATTCTAGGCAGTCAAATCGCTAGAATAATCAATTAAATATATTTAATGACGTCATCATCAGTATTTGTCTTGTATCCTTGATGGCCAAATGCCTGGAATTATCGATCAATCAGATAATTTTAATGATTTTATCATCATTACGTGACTTGCAATTTAATTCCGTGACGTCATCACTGATACTTACATTAAAAACTCAAATATAAATTTTTAAAAGGCTAAAGAGATTGCCCTAATTCCATAGTTACCTAATAGGTGATTTCTAAAAATCTCAGTGACGTCATTATCAGTAGTTGTCTTATATCCTAGGCGGTTAAATGCCTGGAATTAAATAAATTCAATGACGTCACCATCAGTATTTGTCTTGTATCCTTAATAGCCAAATGCCTGGAATTATCGATCATCAGATAATTTTAATATTGTTATTATCATTACGTGACTTGCAATTTAATTCCGTGACGTCATCACTGATACTTACATTAAAAACTCAAATATAAATTTTTAAAAGGCTAAAGAGATTGCCCTAATTCCATAGTTACCTAATAGGTGATTTCTAAAAATCTCAGTGACGTCATTATCAGTAGTTGTCTTATATCCTAGGCGGTTAAATGCCTGGAATTAAATAAATTCAATGACGTCACCATCAGTATTTGTCTTGTATCCTTAATAGCCAAATGCCTGGAATTATCGATCAATCAGATAATTTTAATATTGTTATCATCATTACGTGACTTGCAATTTAATTCCGTGACGTCATCACTGATACTTACATTAAAAACTCAAATATAAATTTTTAAAAGGCTAAAGAGATTGCCCTAATTCCATAGTCACCTAATAGGTGATTTCTAAAAATCTCAGTGACGTCATTATCAGTAGTTGTCTTATATCCTAGGCGGTTAAATGCCTGGAATTAAATAAATTCAATGACGTCACCATCAGTATTTGTCTTGTATCCTTAATAGCCAAATGCCTGGAATTATCGATCAATCAGATAATTTTAATATTGTTATTATCATTACGTGACTTGCAATTTAATTCCGTGACGTCATCACTGATACTTACATTAAAAACTCAAATATAAATTTTTAAAAGGCCAAAGTGATTGCGCTAATTCCATAGCCACCTAATAGGTGATTTTTAAAAATTTCAGTGACGTCATTATTAGTACTTGTCTTATATTCTAGGCGCTCAAATCGCTAGAATAATCAATTAAATATATTTAATGACGTCATCATCAGTATTTGTCTTGTATCCTTGATGGCCAAATGCCTGGAATTATCGATCAATCAGATAATTTTAATGATGTTATCATCATTACGTGACTTGCAATTTAATTCCGTGACGTCATCACTGATACTTACATTAAAAACTCAAATATAAATTTTTAAAAGGCTAAAGTGGTTGCCCTAATTCCATAGCCACCTAATAGGTGATTTTTAAAAATTTCAGTGACGTCATTATTAGTACTTGTCTTATATTCTAGGCGCTCAAATCGCTAGAATAATCAATTAAATATATTTAATGACGTCATCATCAGTATTTGTCTTGTATCCTTGATGGCCAAATGCCTGGAATTATCGATCAATCAGATAATTTTAATGATGTTATCATCATTACGTGACTTGCAATTTAATTCCGTGACGTCATCACTGATACTTACATTAAAAACTCAAATATAAATTTTTAAATTGCTAAAGTGGTTGCACTAATTCCATAGCCACCTAGTAGGTGATTTCTAAAAATTTCAGTGACGTCATTATTAGTACTTGTCTTATATTCTAGGCAGTCAAATCGCTGGAATAATCAATTAAATATATTTAATGACGTCATCATCAGTATTTGTCTTGTATCCTTGATGGCCAAATGCCTGGAATTATCGATCAATCAGATAATTTTAATGATTTTAATCGCACAACATAATCGAACAAGAAATAATTGTATCACTGGCAAGCATAACAAATAAAGTTATCTCTTGGGAAATTTTTCTTCCAAATTGTGCTCAATGACATCGTTACGCCTAATATGCATGTCGCGAATAAATGGAGCATGTGAAGGCAAACGCCATACATCTATGTCACAAGAGGATTTAAAACGTTACAAGCTTATATTCGACGCCGAATAGATAGATAGCAGTAGTGCATGTATGGTTTCATTTTCTATTATTGTAAAGCTGATGCCAAATAAACACAAAGATACATTTTTGAAACTGATTTTTACAGTTGCTTCATTAGTATATTTATCAATCAATTAGGTATCCCAAAATTTTTCCTGGAAAGGAATAACAAATTGGATCCAGAATCCATTTTATTCAAAAAATCAAAGCCTAATATCTATGCCAGTGTGTTTCTTTTGATGTTGTCACATCGGAATTAACTTTTCCGAATGGCAGAAATCGAAAAATTTCGTATTGCAAACACAAACGACAAATAATTTTATTGCTAGCAATAATGAAAACATGACTTCCAAGGGATACGATCGAACTTTCAATAACTTTTTAATATCTGGAAGTTGGCAGTAGTTGTAATTTTACGACTGGCTTTATTGCGGCACGGTTCAAAAATACTAACGACTTACATTAATGAAGTTTTAAGACGAATTTTAATATCTATACAAGATCATATTGAGAATAAATGAAAAATTTAAATCGGTTGGCATCTTGCATGGGATGTACCTAATTTACAGTGATAATTTTAGTGGATATATTTTTGGAAAATCCATAATAACAAAAACGAATTTTGTATAGAGAACTTGTATATATGGCTATAATAAAGCTTCAATAACCATGGGACCAATAAGGACGGAGCGGAGCGGCTCAATAATGTGTATTACATAAACTCGAATAGAAAGGAAAACTTAGATGATTGCGCCTGGCATGTACCAGAAGAGCTCAGAAGTTAGTGATAAGTGCTCTATGCGCCTAAAAAAATTAAATCATCAGAGGAAAAGTTTGGTCTATTTTTGACGATATATAAATAATGTTATGACAATTTTAACAAGTACATTTTTTATCTCTTTGGAGATTTTTAAAAGCTTTTGAAAAATTAAGTCATTTAATTGAAAAACGACTGACGCACTTATCCCTAGATTGTTATTATTTTACGGACACCTAGACACCTTGTTTATAAAACACTGATGTCAATAATAATTATTACATGTCTGTTCTTCCCTTAGTAACACACATGTGATAAGATTTTAAAAGACCATCTGGCTTGAAAAGCAACGTTATAAATAACAGCTTGGGACAGAAAAAATAAAGGGCATAAACGTCTTCAATTTTTTAAGCGTCAGTTGATAAGTATAATACGTTAGTTTGAAACTCAAAAGTTAATCTTGTAAAGCATTTCAAACATAAAGTTCTTCTTTCGCACAAGTGATATATGTAATGTAATATATCCTTTTAATGTAATTTTTATTGCGGAATACAAGCGATAAAATACAGATATTTAGCAATATATTTTTCCTATTCGGCTTAAAAATTCCAGCCCACACCAACTAGTAGTAGTTTAATCCATAAATTTTATTGTTTAGGAAATTACACAAATGGCAATTTTGCATTATACTAAATTTTCGGAATGGGAGTTTTAATGAGTGCCATTGTATCGTAGATTATTTTATGCGCTGAATTATGTACTGAAAAGCAAAAATAGATTTCAGACTGGGAAAGGATTTTGGCTCATGATAAGGCGGAATATGTACTTGTTTCCCATTGCTTCACACAGCTATCCATTAAATTGTCCACTCAGAGACACCTTTTGTAAAATTTTGAATGGGGAGCGGCTGGGTCAAGTAACAAACGAATATTTTTCTGGCTAAATTTTGACATTTTTATTCACCGAGTCGTATCCAAACTATAGCCAATGTGAATATCGGTGACACGAATTAAATATTCATTACTATCCGGAAGTGCATTCAAGTCAATGCATGCACTTCTAATTTATTAAATCAGCATATTTCCACTTCTTGCAACTCAATAGTAGATGTAATGTAGGTATACGAGGTGATTGATTATTAAGCTCACCAGCACTAATTCAATATTTTACGAGAGCCTGATATTAACAATGGATTCCTGTTATTAGACTTATGCAAGTCCGAATGATTCAAGGAATTAGATATTATTGGTATTTTGAAATGCCCAGAACAATATGATGCGCCAGCTAATGAATCACTGGAGCATATTTTTAGGTATTTTGTGTTTTGCAGTTAAAAGTAATTTATTGTTTATGGAATAATAATATTTCATGCGGACAAAATAATTGTTTTCGTTCAGAATAAGAAAATGGTTTGTCGACACAACAAAATGTTTTATAGCTTTCGCCACGATATAAATGAGAAAAAGAGGACATTTAAGGATGTCATAAAGCTTAAGGCAAAGTCAACTTACCGGAAGTGCGTCACACGTCTCGACGATCAGGGGATCATCGGTGCAGATCATAGGATCTGCCGGTTGCAAGGAAGGGGGTAACGGGGGCGGTGGCAGCAGGAATTCCGGGGGTGGACCGGGACATTCGCAGTCGGCGGCGGCGGCGTCGATAACATCCCACATCGTGGCGTCCTCTGGACTTGGGGGATCGTCGCCGTAGACCGCCGCTGCGAGTCTTTCCATAGACTTAAGTAAACCTGAAAACAATAAAACAAATTCAAAACCAGAATATGGAAAGAAAATCTTCAGGAAATTTGAAAAAGTCGGAATTAAACGGATCACAGAGGTTTTTGATCAAATCATATATTTGGGGTTAAATAACAAAATCGATGGCTTGTATAAGCAGTTATTGCATTGTCTTAAAAGCGAAATGCCAAGGATTCTATTATTACTATTATTTAGCTCGCGTATAACTCCGGCCCTTCGGGCTCGTATTACTGAGTATCACAGATTCACAGATTTTTGTCGTAGAGGCGCGGGATTGATTGAAATAATGTTGTCAGATTTTTCTAAATTACATTGAAATATCGAAATTTGGAAAGTGTAATTTTAATTAGGAATCAGGCATAAAAAAGTGAGAATGAATTTTCAATTTTTTGGGTGAGCCGCCGCCGGTATAACATTAGGTGCCTTCTCCAAGTTCCTCATTGAAGGCTGAAAGTCACCAGGGTATCTATTCTCGCAACCGGGAAACAGCGTTCTCGGAAAACGATTGCTCTGTCTTTTTTTTTTTCACCCTTTCGAGCCCATACTTTGCACTGAAGTTCATTGTGGCTTATTGTACATTATTTGCATGGACTCTACACCTTCCCATTCACACTAGAGTCTAAATGCTCGGCCGTATCATGCACCCCCCACCCTAAGATAGTCCGATTCGCAATCTATGGTCGGTCATTCAGACTCTACCGACATCACGCAAGCCCTTCCACATCCTCTCGCCAAGCCAACGAGCCGGTTAAACAAATAAACAACCATGCCCTAGCCGGGATCGAACCCGGGATCCGCAGCATGCGAAGCAGATACACTAACCACGACACTGCAATTGACAAAATGAAAGTAACTGTGAAACAATATATACAATCCACCTCTGAAAGACTAGATATACTAACGAAAAACCTTCAACAGCAAAAGAAGAGGCACGAGCATCACCTTTTAAGGAGTAGAGCGCAACAAAAGCCCTCAATGAGAATTTTGGAGAAGGAAGATAGAACCGTATTCCCAGAAATGCAACAATTCGAGAAATTTTACTAAGCCCTCCACAAGAAAGAGGAAGATGACAAACCCACTCCAATTTTAAATTAATGGCTCTCTAAATTGAAAAAATATTCAAACACAAGTACAGAAAAACAACACCAAATCGAAAACGAAAACATCAGGAAAAAATTGGCCCGAGTTCTAGCAAGAACTGCCCCTTGGAAAGCTACTGGAGAAGACAAAATCCCGAGCTACTTTTACAAGATCTTTCCTGCTGCTCAAGAATACCTGACATCTTTTGTAGAACAACACAAACAGACACCCGTGCAAGCATCATCCTTCTGCACAAGAAAGGAAACCAGCAGTGGCGGCTCGTCAGAGGAGGCAGGGGAGGCTAAACCTCCCCCAAAAAATTGAACCTGGCCCGAAGGGCCAGAGTTATTTTAATTACGGGACTCAGTCTATAATTCTATTGGTCGAATCCGTTCATTGTTAACTGATATAGATTATTTTAAAGCTAATCAGAGAATAAACAAAATTCGAATCCCCAAACCAATCAGGAGCCGGGAAAATTGAAAAATTCGAATTCCAAACCCGACAGGAAATTGAATTTTTTGTACCAACTGTTGCTACATAAATCTCACTCTAAACCTTTGTTTTTGGGAAAAAACAAAAGAATTTTTTTTTTGAGATTGACAGCTGTCAAAATTTAAAAAAAACCTACATGGACATATAGATTTAGCCTCGAAGAATTCGTAAGAAGTACCAATTTTTTTTTAACTATATGTCAAAAAAGACGTTCGGCATTGCCAGCGTCAAATTCGATGGTACTTTTATTAGTTTATGTCATACGTCATTTGTCATTCATTACAAATGTCAATCTTGATTGATGGTCTAATATTTGTTTCGATTTGTCATTGTTTGTTTATTATATTTTTGACGTATCAATGGAAAAATTTAAACTTGAAAAGTAATTGGTGACGTCATATACTGGAGATAAAAAACAAAAAAAAAGTTATTCGATGACACAACTGCCAACTGCCAAAGTAATATGTTACAATAATTATTTACCCAATATTTGTATTTTTGCTCAAGCTTGACAGAGTCAAACGTCATTTGTCATATTATTATTCGAAGCGGGAAATTCAATTTTTTTTTCCTATTCCCGGCTCTTGAATTTTATAGTTTTCAATTAAGCTGATAATTCAAGATGGCGACGTGGGCATAACAAACTAGTGCTTTTACATTCAATTCAAATCGATTGCAATTTGAATGTAAACGTGGTGTGTTATTTCCACGCCGCCATATTGAATTAAAATAACGTCATTTTCAGCAATTTTATGTAATATTTAAAAATAAATTTTTTAATCGATTTTAGGCACTTGAAAATAGTCTATGAATTTCCAGAAAAAAAAAAGTGTCAAATGTCGTTCGATAACACAGTCAATTGATGACGACATTGGTTGGTCACAATTATTTGTTTGACAGAGACGAACCATGTGTCAGATGTCATTTATTCTATTACTTGAAGCGGGAAATTCATTGTCCGGTAGTATAGGCGAAATATACGAATGCGAAACGTCATTTGTCAATTGTCAACGTATACTACCATTTCCGATTGGTAGATATATTTTTTTTGCGCACCGAGTGTATTTCCATTTCTTTTTCTCATCCTGCTAAAAAGAAACAAGATTTTCTTTTGCACTAATTCTACCAATCAAAAACAATATGATATTGATTCATTTGTCAACCGTTTTATTTATGTCATTAGTTGACAAATGACAAATTCAACCGGTTGACAAACTTTACCAATAAATTACCGAACAGTGGCACATTAAGCATCACTTGTCCTGTCAACTGTCAAAAAAAAATAGTTATTAATATTGTCAACGATGATTAAATCAAGTAGGCTTTGGATGGATGTCGGTATTACAGGTTGCGTACAAAATTTTATTCAAAACTTGCAAATTTTGATTATTCCCGGCTCTTGTTGTCACGTGACGTACGACATTTCATTTTATTCGATTGGCCAGTGAACTCAAACAAGTGAGATAGCGATATTGTAGGCGGAATGATTAAACAAACGTCAATTGCCGGTGAGAATTTTGGGACCAAAATCCTATTTAAAATGATGATATTTTCAAATCTTTCGAGATTATTTCTATCATGCGGCAACGTCGCTTGTTTAATTAAGCAGGCCTTTGAATAACATTGGGGTCGGTAATACAGAACTCTGTAATACTTTTGCACTGCTAAAAGGACTGACAATATTGGGTCGGTAATACAGGAGAAGTAATATTTTAAGGTAACGTACAACATTTTATCTATATCTAACCAATCGTCCATGTGGTCACCAATATTGAAAAGTAGGCGATTAATTTCCAGATTGAAATTATAACTTTGACAGTTGCAGTAGATGACAAAATGACATTTGACATATCGTTCATCTGTCTAAATTATAACTAACGAATGACGTCAATTCGACTAAACGAATAAGTGACCATTTTGGTACGACGTCACGCTGGAGGGCAACCAATCATTTTGTTGTCAAATTTAAAGCGAAAAATGCCAAAATAATGTCATTATTTTTTTTGGTTATAAATTAATGTTTGCCCTCCAGAGCAAATTGTCATTAGTCATTTATACTGAAATAGGTCAAGAATAACAGACACTTTAAGGTGAATTCTAACGATATCGAGTGACATCTATCATTGAATGACATGTGACATAGTGACGCCAAAAGTGGCAATAATAAACAATAACTTTGACAGTTGACATCTGGTCCTATGTCGTACTAATAAATGTGACAAGTGACATTGACGATTAAAAAACGAAATACTTTGCACTATTTCCTGTCATTTTACAAGTTGATTTAAATTATTTAGCGAATTCTATTGTGTGTCTTTTCTATCAGCTTGTATAAAATAGAGATAGAAATACATTTTTTTTTACATTAAAATAATTGATGTAATTATTGGCAACATTGCATTAGTTTGTAAATCACTTTTGACAGTTGTTTAATTGACAATTGACAAAAAAAAAAAAATCAATTTGGTGTTAAACAATCAAACTTATAATCGTTGTTTGATCAGTCTTGACAGCTGTCACTATTTTGACAAGTTTGTCAAATGTCGTTATATATCAAAGTCGAAATGCTGCGTTGCAAAACTGTTTTTTTCTCCATTTTCAATAGTCCATTTTCATTAAAATTGGAAAAGAATTGATGTACTCTTAATTATTGGCAACATGGTATTTTCTATAAATACATATAAGGGTTTTTGTCTGGTAATACGCACGAATGTTTATAAAACCCTCACTCTTCGGGTTCGGAATTAAAAAGAAAACCCCAATCCCGGCCCGAAGGGCCGGAGTTATATGAGAGCCCGAAGGGCCGGAGTTATATGCGAGCCCGAAAAGTTGGAGTTATACGAACCCGTTTATTGTCAACTGATTTTAATACTTTGGCTCTTCGGATCGTAATCTTTGAAACAAAAAGACGCCATTTTATATCGACTGTCAAAAAAAACCAAGGCCTACTTTGATATTTCAATTTTTTGACGTTTGTTGTATCATGAGCAGCGTTGCCATATGTTTTTATCAAATTTCGATTTATAGGTTATCATTGACATTTCTGAAAAATATTTCCTTTAAAATTCCCAAATATTCTTTGCAATTCCCAAAAAATCTATGAAAATCTCAGAATTCCACAATTTAATGGAATTTCAGTAGAATAATTATGTTATTCTAAAAAAGGAATTAGATGTGAAATTTTCATAGAATTTACATTAAACTTTAATTCCTCTCGAATTACTTGAAATTTCAGTGAAATTCCGATCGAATTAAACGAAATCCTAAATGAATTACATGGAGGAATTTTAAACAATTACATGAAATTACACCGAAATTCTCAATATGAAATTTCACTTTTTACTGAATTTTAGTAATGCCGAGGAATTTCCAGCTAAAAACATGGACTTTTGGTGATATTT